ACAAATAGGCAACACTTCACCCTGCAAACCTTGTAGAAATCACATTAGAGAAAATGTAACAATAAAATGTCCTTACTTTGTAAGTTCCACAAGAAGTGTTGCTTTTCTGGCAGTGATGAGCTTGTATTCTGCATTCAAATAATGAACCATGCTGGGGGGGAGAAAAAAAAAAAAAAAAAGCCATTGGACTGTACACATTAATCCAAGCACTTTAGCATTTAAACAGATTGATCTTCAAATGCAAAACTCCATACAATAATGATGCAGCTGTCAAATATGAGAAGCTTGTGTAACCGTTCAAGAAAAGGAACATGCTTTAGACCTCCTAATGCATTCCCACTGACTGCAATTAAAAGTTGGCAATACCAGTATTTATTCAGTACTGCTTTCGTCCCCCTGCCATCGAGAGTAAATTTGTCAGTGTTTAGTTTTTTTTTTTGCCAATTTTCTCACAAATTTAAAAAACAAAACTAGTCAAGCTGACATTTATATTAAAAAGGCACAGCGCCAACAAGTTTTTGTAGCACTTTACATATTGTACATTCACATCAGTCCCTGCCCTCAACTTTACAATCCAAGATCTCCATCACACACACACACACTCTCTCTAGGTCCAGTTCAGATTAATTGTAGGCAAAATCAACCGTCCGCTATGTCTTTAGAGCATGAAAGGAAACTGCATGTCCTCATTGTGCCTGCATGGGTTTTCCCCAGATACTCAAACTCCATGCAGGTAGTGGGATGGTTGGGATTCAAGGACCCTAGTGCAGCAAAGCAGGAGAGCTAAATCACCAAGCACTGTTCTGCTGACAATACATTTCAGGTGGATTGGCATAAGCTTGAACTATTCACAGCTGCTGTAGAGCAAACATGCTGACTGACAGAAAGGTAGCTTTGCCACCTAGTGGCTACTAGAAACATGTACAAGGAGCTTAATAAAATTAAATATAAAAAACATACCACGTGTTGGGGAAACACATACACACACCTCTGATACCCATAGTCAGCTATACAGCTCCCAATAAAAGCAAAATTTCACCAATTTGGAAACCTTAAAAAAAGGTTTAATGCAATGCTGATTGTAAACATATGCAACACAACTCATTCTCATGTGTGACAACATGCAAAATAACTACTTTCAGTGCAGCATTAAATAAGCCACATAACTTTTTTTGCTAATTGTAAGAGATATATAGATATATATATACACATATTGCATACATATATACACACAACTCTAGATCTATATATTCTATATCTATCTTCCCTGGACTTCGACACATGGATGAAACAGTTTGGGTAAAAGCCAATTATTTGAACATATTCTGGGCAATTCAAAAAAAAAAAAAAAAAAAAAACTCACGAATGACACCTTTCTGGCAGTAGTGCTTTAAAACGACAGTTTGCCCAAGGCCTCACTCACACGGGCATACTTAAGTGTAAGCCCATGCAAGGGCTGTTTGCGCCCACATGGGGGATGCACAGGTGTTCCAGGCTGTATCCCTGGTCCCATTCACCAGTCTCCTGAGAGATTCCCAGACCCCATTCAGTTGCCTAGGAGATTCCCCAACCAAATCCAAATGTACACAAAAAAGGGGCCAAGTTTACTAGTGATGTTATTACCTAAATACAATAATTCCCACATTTGGGACATGACTTGAGTCACTGGGGGATGGAGAGGTGGAGCCTGATTGGGAACTGAGAGACTAGTTTTCCATCAGATCCACCTCACTTTTGATTGACAGGATAGCATTGGGCAGATTCGAAAGCAGCCATTAAGTAATATATGTCAATCAACAGCAAGGTGGAGCTGATGGGGAACTAGTCTGTTCCACCTTTAGACTCCGCCCACATTACAAAAATTTCTTGGTCATGTGCCTGTCAATGTGACAGGCACAGTGGCCAGGGAGGAAGAGGACTGAGATAGTGTCCAGTATGGACACTCCAACCTCTGTCCCAGGAACAAAATTCAGGTACCTGGCTGACATGAATTGAACTCAAGCACCAACTGTAGCAATCGTGCACACAGAGATGGATGCAAACCTTCAGTTTGGCAAAGGCCTCCATCTTGTATCATTTTCTACTCCCAAATCAGCTTCCCTCCAAATCCCCCCTCCCTCGGTGTTGAGTGTCATGTGTTCTGTATGATGCAGAGTTCAAAAGGCAACAGGCCCAGTGGGAGAGCTCCATGGCTATAAAATCCCAAACTAGCTGGTGCCCAGATATCTCTTAGCTTCTCAATCTGGTATATCGTAAAGCCATAAAACCAGCCCTTCACTGAGCTTCAAAGACATTCCAGGTAGTCATAAAACAGACTCACATTTAAAAATCCCCTTTTCACCTATGATTTCATATCTTGGAATATGAAAGACTTACATAAAAACCAGGCATATATTTCAGACCGGTCACTTTAATACAAGTCGTCTGATATATTACACCCCCTAGCTGACATCTACAGGAGAGCAGAAAATTATATCTCCTTAACCGTCCCAGCAGGCATGTCATATTTCATATCTAGACAGTCGGCAGGTGATTCTGCAGATTAATCTACTCATGGATAGAATGTTACATTTATCCAGGGAAAGTTATTACCCTGGTATCAACTTGGGAGGGATTTTGGTTCTAGCTGGGGACTCTCCACCCAACACCCTCCCCAAATGAGGAGATTGGTTCTCTGCTTCAAGGAGACACCCTGCTGAGTTCCTAGAAAAGCTGTTATGCTTGGAGCAGAAAGCGAAGCTAAGCTGAGTTGAGTTGAATTGAAGTAGCTCCCTTTTAACATTGGAATTAACTTTGGGAGATAAGGCCCTTTTGCTCAGAAAACTTGATCTGCTTAACCCAGGACTTTTGCCAAGTACTTTATCTCTCTAAACTTCTCTGTTATCTCTTTGCTGTGTTCTCTCTCTCACCTACATCTTTTTCTGAAAATATTTTTATTTCACCCTTTTGACCTTTTAGCAATAAATCTTACTCTGAGTGTGTTGAATTGTTTCTAAAGCTCTTTATTGCATACTAAAAACCACTGTCTCTGAAGAGCGCTACTGTGTGTTTAAACCTCTGTATACCCTGCCTGCGGTGACAACGATTATTCAAACATCATAGTGTTATTGCGAATATTGCCAAGTTTCCGCTTTCTCGGTACAAAAAGGAGGTGGTGGCAGTGTGAAGGGGTAATTGCGTAATTAACCTGATCCAGTAACAATCGCTCCCAGACTGCCAGTACACAGATTGTGGTCCATTAGCTGGAAAATCTGTGTGTAGGGTGCAGCTGGCCGTGGCACTGTTACGCACGTGACAGCGCGCTTTTAGATTGGCTAGTCCTTCGGTCACGAGTTTGGCGATAAGGGCTGGGGTCTGACGCTGCGATCATCACACCAACAATTTCAGTGAGGTGGCCCAATGGAATGCTCCAGGAATTTCCCGATTGTATCTTCAAACCACAAACATGCCCCACACACCAAGCTTGCAATCCAAGTCAGCAGAGTATATGACCTTACTGCAGATTCAGGTCTAAAGCATTCTGAATACAATTCTGTCTCCAGACTGCAATCTCCCCAATTAACACTGTTGAGCTATACAGTATCTTCTTACATTCTATGAGATAGAAAGTTATAACCCTGTCTTTAAAAAAAAAACATAAAACCGCTTTTACAATCACATCCTAAAAGGTACATAAACCTGTGAAGTTAAATAAAGTGAGAGCCAACCTGCTAATGTTTAATCTATCCAGCTTTGAACTTCCAACTGTCTCAATACCTTGCTCTCTCCACTAGCCCACAGTGGATCCGCAAGTGTGTGGCTCACACTGCTCCTTTTTTTACTTGCACCAACATTTACATTTTCGGAACAAGCTTTCAGGGTGTACCTGCTTCTTCTAATGTCTGGAAAGGTGCTCATGCAACGTTGGGTGAAAAGACTTTATATTCCCTATTTTTAGGCCAATATTAAATAATCTGGATATACATGTATTTTATGCTTCAGTGAAGTAGTAATTTTGCATTTTATTATCACACAAGGATGATTTGTGAATGAGGCCTAAAAGCTCAGTATTGTATGAAATTCTGCCCAATTTCATACCATGCTGAGCTTGCACAAAATTCAAACATCATAAAAATCATAAGCTGGAAAACAGTTACTAATTCTTCTACTTGACACGATGGAAAAAAAAAAAAAAAAAAAAAAAAAAAAAAAAAAAATCGCAAACAAGTTATAAAGGTCGACTTGCAGTGTGTCAACTTGTTTCATTACCTGCAAGAGAAAAAGACCAGGTTGAAAAGATTAAGGAATTTGCTTCTCCTGTGGAGTTCATTGATCCAACTGAGAGGCAGAAAATGTATCTCAATATTGTCAATCTTCATAAAATCTAGAAAAGATAATATAGACAAAACAAAGTTCAAACATGCTTATGTAATTATACGCTGGTCATCAAATTTTCTAGAAAAGTAACAAACTACTCATGCTCCACTGTACTGGTGTGTACAAATTTTCATGTTGACCATGTATGAATACACAAGTAGTCCATATAATGAACATTATGTATAGTTATTCACTTTAAGGTCTTTACAGTAAGAGCTATGAAAATATGGAGTAGACTCACTCAAGAACTAGTTCTGTCCACCTCAAAAAATTGCGTATTTAGAATGCATCCTGTCTTTTTTTTTTTTAAAAAAACAAAAAGTTTAGCTGAATATTAACATTTATAGGTAATAACACCAGACTGTGGATCCAGGGAATTTCAGATTGCCTTCTGGGTATCAGGGAGGAATGCTCCCCGCCCCAACCAGCCATAGCAAAATTGGACCACAGTTCATAGGATTTTTTGTCTTCCTTAGGACTTACGGTGGGCATAGGATTTCATTATTACTTTTTTCTCTACTGGTTGAACTAGATAGATTAGGGAAATATGTAAATTTAGCATCTTCACTTTGGATGCCAAAGGACTTTGTTCCAGCACAGATGCAAGATTTTGTTTAGACTAAAAAATTACTTGGAGTTTGGCTGAAATCCTCACAATCTGTACTCCCATTTTTCTTTGCAGAAGTTTCTTCTTCTTCATGGATAGTAGGTTCAGTTATAGGACTAGCCGATACAGTACAAGCACTGTTGCCTTCAGCCTCATCTTTACTCAGTGCCGATAGAGAGTATTTCTGGCCAGTGACCAACTCGTGAAACATTGATGTGATGTTGAATTTTGACAGATCTTGAGCGGTCTATGCAAGAAGAAAAAAATAAATAAAATAAAATATACAAGATACAACCCTTAGTTACACGTAACCATGAGCTTAGCTACTTCCCAGTGATCCATCATACTGGAGACAGGGCAGAGTACTGAGAATAAAATGAAACCCCCATTTTACCTCACCCTAACCTTATTTTTCTTTTTTTTGAAGCTTTAGATTTTTGGATTTAGGAATTGTGTGAATTTATCCTATGCAGATGGCCCCTCTGGATCACATAAAAACATAGCTGTTGACAAACTGTTATTTTACTAACTTAAATAGCCAAGCTGCTACTGTAAAATTAACTGTTCAGTTTAGGTGAGTGCTTCCTTTATTCTGAAACATTTTCTAAACCAGGCAACTTCCAAAAGACCAACGATGAAAACAAGCAAACTGTCCCCAAGCATCCCGCTATTCCATTATCCCAACCTTTAAATGGGAAGTTCTAACGCTACAGATTAATCCACATTAACCATGTTTTACAGATTTTATTAAGGCCAGTACGGTCTTTCAAAACTTTGCCTCTTTTTAAAGGGATTTAGGGAGGTGCATGTGTGCAAAGTGTCAAACAAAAAAAAAAAAAAAAAATTGCTTTGTAGCCTTTTATTTCTAGCTTCACTGACCTTGATAAAAACGCCAAAAAGATATAAACAGCCAACCTTTGTATGTACGCCATTGGAAGTCTTCAGCAAGCTCTTCTCCTCGGTCTCTATGCCGTATGCTATGTATGGACTTGTAGTTATATCTCCCCAGTAACCTCGAGCACGGACCTTTCCACATCGCTAGGAATGACAGGGAGCATTTATACACGTTAAAAAAAATTATAACTGGAGATGTAGCCATTTTCAGAATTAAGCAATCACATTCAAAATCATGTTAAATAGGAGTCAGTACACACCTGCCATCATTTTAAGAGCCTCTGATTAACCCCAAATAGCATTCAGCTGTTCTGGTAGGTCTTTCCTGACATTTTATTAGCCACTTACAGCAAAAGCCATGGTCCGCAGAGAGCTTCCAAAGCATCAGAGAGGGATCTCATTTTTAAAAAGGTATCAGTCAGGAAAAGCAGGGGTGTGGAAATTTAAAAAAAATAAATAAATACAAACTACTTGTCCAGGGACTAAAATCGGTGTCCCAATCTACTTGTCCCTCATGTCAATCTACTTATCCTGATAAAAGCAGATTTAAATACAGTTTTGCCTAAAATTTGTTTTAAGTAATGTCTGGGGCTTTAAGGCGATTTAATATTTTTAACATTACACAGTTTATCTCCTCCTCCCCTCTCTGCCTGTGTGTCTCCAGCACTGCACCCGGGCACTAGCAGGGAGGGGAGAGACCTTGCAGTGTAGTGAGCACCGATTGGCAGCTTGTCAGGAAAGGGGAGTGTTGGACTTATCTTTTATTCCTTTCGCTACCAGAGCTGTTTTTGCATTATTTGCAGATGCTTAAAAAATAGTTTTAGGCCTGAAGAGGACACAAACCCCCCAAATATTATACATTTTCTGAAACCAGAGATCCTAGAGAATAAAATAGCGGTAGTTCCAATTTATGTCACACGATATCACAAAATTTCTGTAAAAAAATACAGTTAAGTTAATTTTAGCGCACAAAAAGTTATCCAATTTTTTTATGTACAATATAAAAAAAAAAAAAACCCACACACTTTAGTACCCTATATTTCCTATAGGCGACACTTAAAGCTCCTTATAGGTCATCAGTATAGTGTACGGAGGAGGTCTGGTGCTAGAATTATTGCTCTCATTCTGGCATGCGCGGCGATATGCAACATATGTATCGCAATCCATGGTTTCATGTATTGGCACCCGAGTATGTGCTTTTAAGTTTGTGCGTGCATACACATGTGGGGGGGGGCTTAAAACTTTGGGGGTGTAATGCTTGGGTGTAACTTCCATTAAGCAAAAAAAAAAAAAAAAAAAAAAAAAAATTTTTTTTTAATCACTTATGGGACAAAGTCCGTGCAACTCTGTTACAGCCATCCAGAGCAGTGTGTTTGTTTACCAACAGTCCTCCCTGTTGTCTCAAAGCAGCCCTCCTCCCCGTCGGAGATCCGCAGTAATCACCAGCGGGTAATCACCAGCTGGGACCTGCTGATTGACAGCCACGAATGGTGGTGTGGGTGGGGTGAGTGCACGCCCCCTAGCCGGAAATGCAAAATTCACACGTGATTTTGCACACCCCTGCCGCCCTGTAGCAGTATATTTGCTATAAGACGACGGCAGGGATGTGGTTAAATTCATTTTTTTCCACTCAAGATTCTACAAACAATACCCCATAATGAGAACGTGAAAGAAGTTAGTTTTGAAATCTTTGCAATTTACTAAAAATAAAAAGAACAGGGGGGGGGAAACATACCACATGTACACAAGTATTAACAGCCTTTGCCATGACGCTCAAAATTAAGCGCTGGTGCATCCTGTTCCCACTGATCATCTTTGAGAGGTTTCCACAAGTTGATTGGAGTCCACCTGTGGGAAGTTCAGTTAACTGGACGTAGGAAAGGCATAAACCTGTCCATATAAAAAAAGGTCCCACAGTTAACAGTGCATGTCAGAGCACAAACCAAAACCATGAAGTCCAAGGAATTGTCCATAGACCTTAGAGATTGTATCAAGGCAAAGATCTGGGGAAGGGTACAGAAAAATGTCTGCAGCATTGAAGGTCCCAATGAGCAGTGGCCTCAGTCATCCATAAATGGAAAAAGTTTGGAACCACCAGGGATCTTCCTAGAGCAGGTCCCCCCAGCCAAAATGAGCGATTGAGTGAGAAGGCTAGGGAGGTAAACAAGCACCCGATGGTCACTCTGAAAGAGCTCCAGCCTTTCTCTGTGGAAAGGGGAGAACCTTCTAGAAGAACCACCATCTCTGCAGCACTTCAGTCAGGCCTGTATGTTAGAGTGGCAAGACGGAAGCCACTCAGTAAAAGGCAAATGGCAGCCCACCTGGAGTTTGCCAAAAAGGCACCTGAGGGACTCTCAGACCATGAGAAACAAAAACCTCTCGGGTCTGATGAAACAAAGGATTGAATTCTTTGGCTTGAATGCAAAGTGTCATGTCTGGAGGAAACCAGGCACCGCTCAGCACCTGGCCAATACCATCCCTATAGTGAAGCATGTTTTTCAGCGGCAGGAACTGGGAGACTAGTCAGGATCGAAGGAAAGATGAATGCAGCAATGTACAGAGACATCCTTGATGAAAACCTGTTCCAGAGAGCTCTGGACCTTAGATTGGGGCGACTGTTCATCTTTCAAAAGGACAACGACCCTAAGCACACAGCCTAAAAAAAAAAAAAAAAAAAAAAAAAAAAGAAGTGGCTACGGACCAACTCTGAATGACTTGAGTAGCCCAGCCAGAGCCCAGACTTGAACCCAATTGAACATCTCTGGAGAGATCTGAAAATGGCTGTGCACTGTACGCTCCCCATCCAACCTGATGGAGCTTGAGAGGTACTGCAAAGAAGAATGGGAGAAATTGCCCAAAAAAAAAAAAAAAAAAAAAAAAAAAAAAAAAAAAAAAGGGAAGGTGTGTGTCAAGCTTGTAGCATCATACTCAAAACGACTTGAGGCTGTAATTGGTGCTAAAGGTGCTGCAACAAAAGTATTGCGCAAAGGCTATGAATACTTATGTATGTTTTGTTTTATTTTTAATAAATTGCAAATATTTCAAAATGAACTTTCACGTTGTCATTATGGGGTATTTGTAGAATGTCGAGAAAAAAAAAAAAAATGAATTTAATCCATTTTGGAATAAGGCTGTAACCTAACAAAATGTGACAAAAGTTAAGCACTGTGAATACTTCCTGGATGCACTGTATTTTTAGTGTGCACCATAATAATGCAGACTAGAAATAGGACCTCTCCTGCCACCAACAAACATGAAAACTCTTAACCTGGATACAGTGTTGACAAGCAGAAGGGTTAAAAACACAGGATTGCATGAACATTTGAAGGATCATGCTCTTGTTACTGCTGTTTTGACATTTTAGGTTTTGCCATTCCAATATCCAAAACTATATGAAAAAAAGGTTTTGGCTTTAGTTATACTCTGTAAAATCCATTTCTTGGAGCTTGTTAAGGAACAAAGATTTCCAAGACAAAATTATACTGCCTACAGGAGGATTTGGACCATGAGAGATGGGTAAAAAAGTATTTTGCAGCCACTGCTTCTGTTCAGAAAATGATGCACAGTTCGAACACCCAGACAATAAACAAATGTTTTTGACATACTGGACCTGAACAGAGATATGGGAGAACAGTTTGTTGATTGAGAGTAAAGTCTGACAATGCCATAGTGTGGTTTGACTGAATCCAACTGGACGATCCTTCAGTGGGTATATCTAGTGTTGTAGGGTTCAATCAAATCACCCAAAGTTCCAGAATGCAGATTGGGCCCACGTCTGCTTCCAAAGGGTGTTTATGACTCTTCCTAAGCCCTTCCGATTGACATCTTCCAAGACTTAGGAAAGCAGAACTTTCTCAACGTCAGAGCCAGACTTCTCAGCCACCAGGCTAATGACCCATACTTTGTTTAGTCTTTTTACAAACTAACCTGCCTGACACCAAACATGTTAAGCTGAGGAAGCGCCTGGGCCTAGACGCCGCACATTTGTGTTCATATAACAAAAAAAAACATGTGCCGAGAGCGCGCGCTCCCAGCACACGTGAGGTACTCACAGAAAGGTCCTGGTCTGCACTTTCGATCAGGACCTTTCCCGTTCATGTGACCGGCCATGACATCACAGCGGCCACATGACGCTAAGCCACGCCTCATCTACCTTCCGGCGCAAGAACTCTTCACGTCGGGACGATCCGGCGTGAAGGGGTTAAGCACTATGATGGAAAGCGGATTATGTAAACCAACAAATTTAATCATTTTGGAAGAAACTTGATGGTATGGGTAGTTTCAAACAAAACCAAATATATGCTGCAAAATTTGTAGGTTAAAATCTGTAATTTGTTATCTCACGACTAGACTACTGCAACTCCCTCCTCACCGGCTTACCTCATCACAGACTATCCCCGCTTCAGTCTATCCTGAACTCTGCGGCCAGACTCATCCACCTTACCAACCGCTCCATATCCGCCACCCCCCTCTGTCATTCCCTCCATTGGCTTCCGATTGCCCAACGCATAAAATTCAAACTACTAACATTGATGTACAAAGCTATTCAGAATACTGCCCCAAACTACCTCACCGACCTGATATCCAAATACCACCCAACCCATACTCTTCGCTCCTCACAAGACCTCTTATTCTCTAGCTCCCTGGTCTCCTCCTCCCATGCCCGACTCCAGGACTTCTCCAGGTCTTCCCCCATCCTCTGGAACTCACTACCCCAATCCATCAGACTGTCATCTACCCTCCTCACCTTTAGGCGCACCCTGAAAACCCATCTCTTCAGGGAAGCCTATCCTGCCCTCACCTAACTGCCGATCTCCTCCATTCCATCCCTCACAGCCATTTCCTCCTGTACCACTATCCCCTCCCTCCTAGATTGTAAGCTTCAAGGAGCAGGGCCCTCGAACCCCTTGTGTATGGTCTCATGTACTGTCTCCCACTATAATGTACAGCGCTGAGCAAACTTTTTGGCGCTATATAAATACTGAATAATAATATTATAATAATAATAATAATAATAATAGTGACGTGTGCTGGAGACGCAAATGGAAAGGCAATGTGCAGAAGCAGCTTTATTTACAACACAGAGGGGCCAAGCTTCCATTACTCACTTGCGTTACACTCATGTGTGAAGCCAAGGTTTTATTTGGGACATCATAGATTCCTTCACGTATCATAAATGCAACTCCATTTTCTCTCCAACGATTATATTCAATAGCATTAATTATTACAGCCTACAAAACACAAAGCATGAGGAAATTACAGATGGCTGGTGGTTTTCATTTAAGTATTATGCAGTCAAGGAAGGGGGGGGGGGGGGAAAACAAAAAAAAAAAAAAAAAAAAAAAAAAAAAAAAACAACACACACACACACACAATATTGTCTACAGAAACAAGTTGACAGCAGCCCAATCCACCCAGACTAAAAGATTAAGGTCTAGGAGTTCCATGAACAACTGCCAGCTAACTACTCTCAGTAAGAACAATCCAACTGACTTGTCCTATGTCTGATCGCTTTGGTTTCCGCTTGTATTAAACAACTGCGGCAGTATTGACTGCAGGCTGCTGGTTTCTAAATAGGTGCTTGTTTGCTTTTCTAGGTTTACATATATGGGTTTTTAAAGGATTTATAAAAAAAAAAAAAAAAAACCCACCCCAAAAAAAAAACAAAAAAAAACAAAAAAAACCACACCAGACATATCACTTTTTTATTTATTCCCCCAAATATGCGGTTTGTTACTAAATGAATTTTTGTTTCAGTAGGTGTTCTCCCATCGAAAGAAAAGGGAAAGTTACTAAGGGTAACCTCAAAATTTACCTTTATGTTGCATTAACAGATCTAATAAGCAGATAAAGGAAAATAAATGGATGATCTCCCTCTGTGTGATCTATGCACTATGCAGGTTCCTACCCATTTCTGCTCTGAAGAAATAGCGGTTCACTGTGTATAGAACGAATCTGAATGGGAGGGATGTTTCATTATTAATCAGCTAATGCACTAGCATTAGTGTTCCAATTAGCAACTAGCACTAGTGTTCCAATTAGGAAAGTTGTAGGGCCTGCATCCCTTTCTCAAAACAAAAACATTTTGTTGCAGAGCATGCCTAAAATCTGACTAGGTGCAGACTTCTGGGAAAGTCATTTAGCTAATCTAAAAAGCAGGGAACTGCATGTTCAGGGAGGTTCTGTGTACAGAAGGCGTCCATGTTGCCATATTTCACTTTAAAGAAAAGTTACATTGCTGCAGAACGAAAAAGGCTAAGGCAAATTCTAAGTAAACCTTAAAATTACAATATGGCTTTTTACCTTTAAAGTAATAGATATTGAAATTTTACACGATGAGCTTAAAGTCAAAATTAAAAAAGCATTGATATTTTACTAGAATGCAATCAGGGTGCATCTACAGTGATTAATATGCAGCCATTTTAGGAATTCGGGCTGTTGTGTTATGCTGTAAATGTTACAATACCCTTTTAGGGATTAGAACACCTGTCAGTTTTTATTGCAGTGTGTTCCCCCATTAACCACTTGCCAACTGCGCTATAGCCAAATGACTGCTACAGCACAGTTATCCAGTTCTGGGAGGGAGTCATATGCCTTCCTCCCAGACCGCACCCTTCTACAGACACAGGTGATCACGTGATGTGGAAAAAAGCCCAATCACAGCTGCCTTTTACCACGTGATCAGCTTTGTCCAATGACACAGCAGATCACCGGGTAAATGCAATTGCCGGTTATCGGCTGCACTTTCCTCACACTGTCACAGCGTGCAGAAAGTACTGCCAGTAACTGGCAATTGTCAGAAAATTGATCAGCACTGATGATAAAGTGCCACCCACCTGTGCCCAGCAGTGCCACCTAATCAATGCACATCAGCAAAAGGAGAAAAAAAAAAAAAAAAAAAAAAAAAAAAAAAGTACCTGTTTGCAACATTTTATAATAGAAAACAAAAAAAAAAAAAAAAAAAACAAAAAAAACAATCTTCAAATGTTTACCTCTTTTTTTTTTTTTTTTTTTTTTTTAACCACTAGCCTACAGGGCACTTATACCTCCTTCCTGCCCAGGCCAATTTCCAGCTTTCAGCGCTGTCACACTTTGAATGACAAATTATGCGGTCATGCAACACTGTACCCATATAAAATTTTGATCTTTTTTTGTGACAGATAAGAGCTTTATTTTGGTGGTATTTGATCACCTCTGGGTTATTTTTTCTTAAACCAAAAACCACTGAAAATTTAAAAAAAAAAAAAAAAAAGTTTTAGTTTTTGTTATAAAATGTTGTAAATAAGTGATTTTTCTCCTTCACTGATGTGTGCTAATGAGGCTGCAGTGATGGACACTGATAGGCCAACACTGATAGGTGGCACTGATGAGGAGGCACTGGTGGGCATTGACAGGCAGCACTCATATGGCACTGTTAGGTGGCACTGATAGGCAGCACTGACTGGCATTGATAGGTAGCTCAGATGGGCACGGATATTGATGTGCACTGGTAGGCACTGAAATGTGGCACTGATGGGCATTGGCAGGTGGCATGGATGAGCACTGACATGGCACTGATTGACACCGACAGGTGGCACTGCTGGGGCTACACTGATAATCAGTGCTCTGATGATCAGTGTAGATGTCCCCTCCGAGGAATGCAGATTACAGACTCTCCTCTCGAGCTGTCAGCGTGACAGCTCGTGAGGAGAGAAATGCCGATAACTGTCATTTCCCCGTTTACATGTGATCAGCTGTGATTGGACACAGCTGATCACATGACAGCCGACATCGTCGGCTCTTTTCATGGATCGGGGATCCGCTGTGTCCGAGGGACAATGTTGAATGACTGCGCAATTGTCATAGTGTGGCAGTGCTGAAAGCTCAAAATTGGCCCGGGTAGGAAGGGTTATAAGCGCCCAATAGGTAAGTGGTTAAGCAGATTCACCCTCTATTTGTCATGTCATTTTTTATGGTCATCAATCAAAAGTGAAAGTCAAACATAGTAGACCTCAGCTATTCAGAGCCGACTTGCGACCTTTGCACAAAAGTTTGTTAAATTCCCCCGATCTTTTTCGAATATACTGTAATAGCCAGTAGAGCACCTCTGTCAACAATCCAATTCAAAGCCGATCTTTAGCGTGCATACACATTTTTCAATATAAAAACACCTATATATTAAACGAGAGGTTTTAAAAAAGTCCTACCCCATGCTCATGTAGCTTCATATTTAAATCCCAGTCATAGGCACCTCTTCTGGAGTCATATCTTCTTCCCAAATACTGACGATTCTTTACATCCCAGTACCGGTCAATAGGAAAGAGCTTGGGTTCTGGAGATTGCCAGAACTTAAAGATGTATTCCAGTTCGTCCCGCTCTTTGAACTACAAGAGGATAAAGAAGTAGTACAAAGTCCATGATACAGAAGTTAAAATGGTTGATATTCAAATAAGAGCCATGCAGCAGGTTGCCATATCTACTGTTATTAGGGACCGATACACTAGTTCGAAGCTTTTTTTTTTGTAGCAATCTATGGTGTGCATCTTGGAAGATTTTATCATTGAGCCCGTCATACTTTGTATACCGTCCTCCAAGTTTGAGTAGTTTTCTTTTGCTCTCACAACTGTTATTTTAGTTGCCATGAATATAATGTTAATTTGATGGTGTTCCCCTTTAATCTTGTTTACATTCGTTCCTACAGCATGCTCTATAGAACAATGGGATCAGGAGCAGATTGTTTTGACATCCTGGTCTTCGCTCTGGACCCTGGCTGCCATTGACAAAATGAATGTTCCAGTGCAAGTGCTCCCATGGGCCGCAGGTGCGGCAGAGACCAGCTGCCGGTTTCAAAACTGGTAACATACAGCCATGTTAAAAAATGGCGACTGGGACTCGTAGTTAAAGACACTAAAAAGTATCCATTTGCAGTACTTATCTTATTGCAGACAGTGTCCAAAATAAAGTACAATCGATCACTGAAACTCAGAAATTCCAGCACCTCCTGACTCTGCTAAGCTTGGTAGTTCTTTCTACAAGGGTGAAATACAGGACCAAATGTTGTCAGGAGGCATTTTAGGGTCATTAGACATACACTGCGCATCATATGACCAAAGTTTCATACTTCCTGCCCCTCCTCAATCCCTATTACCAAGCGGTTCTGTTGGGGTGTCACCACATTTGTCTGAGAATTGGTGGTTCCTTGAGACTGTGCAGCAAACATAGGGAACCAGAGTGGCCTTCTTCAGCGGTACTTGGTCTACACTCTTGCCTCTGCACCCCTCGCCAGCACCAAGCTGGCCCTCGTCAGCAGAGAAGAGAAGGCACCCTTAAGTGTAGACCAAAAAAAAAGAATGCATTTTATTGCACACAATAAAAAGCCACTTACAGGAGAGCGGGTAAAGCGTAGCATATCTAGTCTGTCAAGGGCAAACGCCACAGTGTAATGGTCCCATCACTGCCATGTGTAGCAACCAGATCCACTGTCACTGTTCCAGGCTGAGCCAGCAAGGTGGACGCCCAGAAGTGAGGGCTGGAGCGCAGATCGGCATTATGGCATCACCAGGCGTCGTGATGTGATGCGATGCGTTTCGTGAGCATACGCACTGAAGATCACATAACAGGCACACTCCTTTATCAAGCGGCTAGAGCTACGCCATGGCGTTTGCCCTTGACGAACTAGATAGGCTACTCTTAACCTGCTCTCCTGTAAATGGCATTTTATTGTGTGCAATAAGTTCTCAGTCTACACTTCGAGGCTCCTTATCTTCTCTGATTTTACATGTACTCCTGGAACAAGCTTCATATCCAGACAAGGCTGCCAGAAATGGAGGGACTATACATTTACCATGCCATAGAACTATATTAGCAGTACTTTTGTACCTACAAAATGGTACGATTATTCATGTAACATGTAACCCTAATTTGAGCTCAGCATTAGAACTACTTATTTGTGGACTTCACCATACATACATGTTAATTTACTGCTACAGGGAGGCAGGGGTGCGCAAAAATCTACATACATACATACTCAAGATTGCATACCCTGGCAGAAATTGTGAAATTTTGGCATTGATATTGAAAATATGACTGATCAATAAAATTTTTTTTTTTTTTTTTTTTTGGCATGAAGGATGATGATTATAGGAAGCCATTTATTAACAAATAGTTTGGATCCTTTTTAAATCATAACAGAAATCACCCAAATGGCCATGATCAAAAAAAAAAAAAAAAAAAGTTTACATACCCTGGAATGTTTGGCACACAAGGTGACACACGTGTTAAAATGCCAATTAGAGGTTAATGTCCCACATCTGTGGCTTTTTAAAATTGCAATTAGTGTCACTGTATAAATAGTCAATCAGTTTGTTAGCTCTTACCTAGAAGTAATGACTAGGCTACATACTGAGCCATGGGGGATCAGAAAAGAACTGTCATAAGTCCTGCGTAACAAGGTAATGGAATTTTATGAACATGGAAAAGGACATAAAAAGCCTTGAATATGCCAGTCATCACTTCCACGACGGAGAAAATTCAGGGACCTCTTGATACCAAGCCAAGTACAGGTACACCAAGAAAGATTACAGCCACAACTGACAGAAGAATTGTTCAGGATACAAAGGGAAACCCATTGGTAACCACAAGAAAAATACAGGCTGCTCTGGAAAAAAAGACAGTGTGGTTGTTTTGAAGGAACACAATATGTTGACACTTGAACAAAAATTAGCTGCATGGTTGAGGTGCCAGAAAGAAGCCTTTACTGCATCAATGACACAAAGGCCTGGTTAGGCATTACAAGGTGTTGTCAGGCATATTATAACTTTTTTGTGGCATTGGTGCAGTAAAAGCTTCTGGCACCTCGACCAAAAAGCTTGTTTTTGTTCAATTATCACCATATTGTACTCCTTAAAAACAACCACACCATCTTTTTCCTAGAGCAGCCTGTATTTCTTTTGAGGTTGCCTGTGGGTTTTTCTTTGAATCCCGGACAATTCTCTGTTTCTTTTAAAAAAGCTTCTAGAATGCAAACGTGCATAAAACGCGAAACGCAAAACGCGGCTCAAACTGATGTTTTTTTAACCTACGTTTTCCAGCAGTCAGTTTCCATTGTTCAGAAAAGGTTTTCCAAACGCCCCGTGTACATGAGCCCTTAAAACAGGACAAGGCTGACAGAAATGGACCACACAAAATGACTGTCAGGATAGCTTCACATGACTGCCAAGTGGTTTTGAAACCAGAGCAAAACTGAAACTAGAAGCACTGCTTTTTGTATTCAAAATGGATTCACGTGTTCACTTTCCTAACAAGGTATGAAAAAACATTAATGCCATGTTTTGTTAATCCACCTATGAGCTAAAATTAAGCACACAGTACATTTAAATCCTAACTGAACAGCTCTTAGGCAACAGTGTGGATCCACCAGCTACAGGTAATATTAAAATAAACTCTTAAAAAGTTTAAAAATATCAAACTTACAAAATAAATAAAATTAAAAAAACATCCTATTCTTTACAATCCAGCTAATTTATTTAGAGAAGGAATGGACAAACCTTGATGGATGACATGTTCAGCTGTGGAAGGATGCTCTGCTGGTACTCCGGGTCAGTGACACAACGTATAAACATTCTACATTTCTCTTGCAGGTAGGTGGAAGTCTTACTACGAATAAGGCTATTTCCAAAAAAGCTCAAGAAACATTTCACACTTTTCTGCAGACAGAAATAAGGGAAATATTAAAAGGATATATATGGTCAAGCTGTAGAAAACACATCAATTTCCACATTGTATTTCAATTATTTCTAGCCAGCTCCTAATAGTAATCTGAACAATCTTAAAGCTTGTAAGCCTCTTTTGGGAAGAATTTTTCAAATAATCTTATATTGGATTGTCAAAAATAACTAACTATTGGTTTGTAATGTCTATGTGATCTAATAAAAAGGTGGAATTAAAACTCCAGGATGAGGAATAGGGATATGGATAGGATTTTAAGATGGAGTTTCCCCATCATCACACTAGCCAAATTTGGGGGAAGCGATCTGCATGCCCCAAAGTGTCATCCAAGAGAGGTTACATGCGTCTAACTAGTGGCTATCTGAATTAGAAATACTTGGAGATCTCCATTTAAAAACAAAATTGAAGATTTTTTAGATGAGATGAGAGCAGTAGCCAAGTGTCAGCACACATACAAACTGCATGTGGAGAGGGAAGCACCAAGAACAGGGGCAATGCAACCATTCCCAGTACTAAGCCAGTAAATGGAAGTTGATGGTACAAAAAAAGGCAGATTTGTAAAAAGGAGACAACAGAAAGGACTTCACTGCCTGTACAATGGGTAGCCTGATATTCTTCAGGCCTGAAAACAGGAAGGGAAATACATATAGAGCTCAAAGCAGACTGAGGGTTGTATGCTGGGGAAAATAATTTTATGACAAAGCATAAAAAAAAGGGGACACAGAAATATTCTGAAGGGAGCTACCAAGAGGTGCCAATGAGCATATACATGTTCCTGAATGTGTTACCACAAAGACAAAACGTCAGGACGAAGGGATAGGATTAGACCCAGGTATACCAGTCAAAACAAGGGGGTTATGGGCAGTCCAGAGAATGGTGTGGGATCAACAGAAAGGGAGAAGTAAACATCAGCATTTGGGCAAATGTTTGTGGAATTAGGCTCAGGAACCTTGCAGTAGAAAGTCTCCAAGGCACCCTGAGATATGAACGTTCAGAATGTAAATACGGGTCCCATAAAATAGCACTCCAGATTGTGTCAATTTCATCAGCAATTAAAGACTACATTGATGTGTGAATAGGCAGAGCATAACCCAAAACACTGCATGCTTGGCAACACACACAGTCTATAGGAGACCAGCCAGAGAAGCTTTCAGGACAGGATGGAACCTATCCCTATTAAAGACAAGAGACCCCATGCAAGATTTGGAAAGCCCTTGTAGTTCTTCCTAAAGGGGGACCATCCCTTTTGGCTGTAACAGCTGCAAGAAGGTGTGGCAAAATGGTTTGCTTTTCATGAAGCAGCAAGTAGGACCAGGTGGTAGAAAATAGGGGAGATACACTCTACGTGTACCTCTCTGAAAGACAATGTGAAATATAGGGCTGGGATGTCTCCACTCTTGTGGTGAAGCAAAATGTTAGCAGACATCCCCATACCTTCTAGGGGTGGGGGTGAACCTACATTGTAAAAGTTTCTGAACAGGTCCATTGGGCTTAGAGATGAAGGATCTGCCACAAAATGGATGGAAGTTATCCTTGGAGGGGGCGAACAGGCCGTACATGTACAGTAAAGGATGACAAACCAATAGGGAATTTCGATTGTAGATAGTGGGGTAAGGAATACCCTTACCTCTATAGCCACCTCAGTGCATTTCTAAAAAAAAAAAAAAAAAAAAAAAAAAAAAAGGCACCTTTCCGAAGAAAGGTCAGTTGAACCAAGCTCTAAGCCAGGGGTCTCCAAACTATGGCCCTTCAGGTATTGAGGAACTGAAAGCCTCATGAGGCCTTGCAAGACAGCCACAGGCAAGGCTCCCAGAGGCATGATGGGACTTTTAGTACTTTAACAGCTGGAGGGCCATAGTTTGGTGACCCTGCTCCAAGCCATACAATTCTGCACAAATTCATCAAAAGACATTTTAGAGCTTTCACAAATCATATTGCTTCTTGGCATCTATGCAGATGAGTAGGGCTGAAAACAAGAGATACATACATACATACACACCAGGGGAAAGGTCACCGTTGAGGTTTTGTCATGTTCCAAGCAACTGACAGTGGACCTGTCAGAGTAAGAGTAAACAAAACAAAAAAAAAAAAAAAAAAAAAAAAAAACCACCCACACACCACACACAATCAGGGGTTTAGAGCATTGTCAGTCAAGTCCTTGCTCCACAACAAGGAACGACTAGCAACCTGTGGGGAACTTGGAGTTTCCTCAGGGCCTGAAGAGGAAGGCATTTGTTCAATATGAACCTACTCCCAAGTGTCTAACTTCCCATAGTTAAGTGAGGATTTTCTCTGGCTGGGTATTCATTGAATGTTTGCAGACCGAGGGGGTTCAGCATGTCCAGTATGAAGGAATCATAGTAGCCCAGATGCTAACCAGTTTTATGTGGCTGTGTCTGAGGTATCAAGCAAAAAGCAATAGCAAATGATCAGCTTGCATCTTCAGCAGTGCCATACAGAAGATGATCTGATAGTGAAGTGGAAAAAAGAAGGGGGGGGGGGGGGGGGGGGGACGTCCTCATTTAAAATTAGTTAAATACTATAGGGAAAAAAAAAAAAAAAAAAAAAAAAAAAAAGGACACACACACACCTTTATAACCTGTGCCTTCAAAACCACCTGTGCACTTAGCACTGTAGCATCTTGTAGATAAAAGGATACATTTTAGGGTGTACCACAAATCCAAGTAATGATCACACAAAAACATAGCCAGAAACTGATGAACAGGGCAAGATAAGGTTTCCCTCTACCCCTGCACATCTCTCTAGTACCATTCAGCGCCCAGGCCAGTGTGCATGCCTCTGAATCAGTATAGCATCCTACAGCCAATGACATTTGTTGCACCACATGCCAAGGTGAGTGCAAAATCACAGGATCCAGTCCCCAAAGCAAAACAGAGGCCAACGTGCTTTGGTTCTACAGGGTATCAATCCAGAAAGGATCAGTAAGCCGTAACAAAGTTGGCAGGGTTATACAGAAACAATCTTTTGCCAGTGTCCATTTACCGGAACCATAACCCATGAGTCATTCCTGTGTTGTGTACAATTAGGTTAGAAAACTTCCAGTACTGATGCAACTACCATTAGCTGCATTAGAGCACAAGAAAAATAAATAAGTGGGGTTAAAGAACATTGTATAATTTTTACTGCCTGCATTCTTGAAAAGCAAGAGTGAAATATGCACAGGATTACCTTTGTAGCTCATTTTAACTGGGCCACAGATGACAGATACATCTCAAAATCTTACCTTGTAAACCCATTTGTTCTGAATTTTCCAGTGCTAAAGTCAAAAACAACATTTGCCGTGCCAACAGCTCCAGGTCACTCTCTATTACAAAGAACTGGAAAACAAAAAGAGAAAAAAAATATAATAATAATCCAGAGCATACAAAATTACTTGCTTTAAAAAGCAGAATGACTACAGAGCAATACAAAATAGTGTTCAGCAAACCCTGATCAGTTAAAAAAAAAAAAAAAAAAAAAAAAAAAAAAAAAAGTATAGTTCATTTTCTGTAAACGCTTTTTTAAAGACAAAAAGGAATACCATTTTTTCATGATTTTTTTTATAATAATTTACAGGAATATGACTCAAACATTTGAGATCTAAAAAAATTTAAAAAAAATTGTAAACAGATACTGGAATTGAAAGTCTGTATCTCAGGTTTTTAAACTATTAGCAGGTAAAATATTAAAAAAGCAATACTTTTGCATATAGAGGATAGTTAGAATATACACTATATTGCCAAAAGTATTGGGCCGCCTGCCTTTACACGCACATGAATTTTAATGGCATCCCAGTCCTAATCCATAGGGTTCAATATTAAGAGTTGGCCCACTCTCTGAAGCTATAACAGCTTCAACCCTTCTGGGAAGGCTGTCCACAATGTCTAGGAGGGTGTCTATGGGAAGGTTTGACCATTCTTCCAGAAGCACATTTGTGAGGTCAGGCACTGATGTCGGATGAGAAGGCTGGCTCGCAGTCTCTGCTCTAATTCATCCCAAAAGGTGTTCTTATTGGGTTGAGTTCAGGACTGTGCAGGCCAGTCATGTTCCCCCTCAACACACTCATCCATGCCTTTGTGGACCTTGCTTTGTGTACTAGTGCGCAGTCATGTTGGAACAGGAAGGGTCATCCCTAAAAACTGTTCTCACAAAGTTGGAGCATGAAATTGTCCAAAAATGTCTGGGTATGCTGACGCCTTAAGCATTACCTTCACTGGAACTAAAGGGCCAAGCCCAACCCCTTAAAAACAACCCCACATCATAATCCCCCCTCCACCAAAAACTTTACACTTGTCAGGAGAATGGTACTGTGCCAACTGCCATACCCAGGCACATCCATCAGTTTGCCAGACAGAAGTGCGATTCATCACTCCAGAGAACACGTCTCCACTGCTCTAGAGTCCAGTAGCCGCGTTCTTTACACCATTGCATCCGATGCTTTGCATTGCACTTGGCAGCTGCTCAGCCACAAACACAAATTCCATGAAGCCCTCTATGCACCGCTTGTACTAAACTGAAGGCCATACGAAGTTTGGAGGTCTTTAGCCATTGACACTACAGACAGTTGGTGACTTCTGCACACTGTGTGCTTCAGTTGCGGATCCCAGTTGCTTCCAATTGTTTATAATACCACTAACAGTTGGCCATGGAAAATTTAGTAGCAAGGAAATTTCACGGATGGACTTAGTGCACAGGTGGCAACTTATCACAGTACCACGCTTTAATTCACTGAGCTCCTGAGAGCGATCCATTCTTTCACAAATGTATAAATTCAAGCACCTAGGCATGCAGACTGCTTCTACAACACCTGTGGCCATGGAGGCGATTGGAACACCTGAATCCAATGATTTGGAGGGCTGGCCCAATACTTTTAGCAATATAGTGTGACACACACACACACACACACACACACACACACACACACCTTTTGAAAAGTAAGATTTTAATCAAACAACACAAGAACAATTTCCAAAATTGAAAAAAAACTGAACATTTGTTTAGATTGTAACATGAAAAAGGTCAATATAAAACTTAGATTACAAAATCTTCAGTTTTACTCAAAATTAGTTCATGCAAAAATGAATACACCCCACAACAAAAACTACTACATCTAGTATTTTGTATGACCTCCATGATTTGTAATGACAGCACCAAGTCCTCTAGACATGGAATGAACAAGTTAGCAACATCTATCTTTTTCCATTCTTCAAAACAACCTTTTAGAGCCTGGATGGCGAGTAATGCGCAACTGGTCTCTTCAGAAATCCCCATAGCTGTTCAATTGGGTTAAGATCAGGAGATTTACTTGGCCACTGAATCACCCTGTTCTTCAGAAATGCAACAGTGGCCTTAGATGTGCGTTTTGGATCATTGTCATGGTGGCAAAGTTCATGACAACCAAAGACAGGGGAGTGATGGTAGCATCTCCTCTTTCAATATAGTGCACTACATCTGTGAATTCATGATGCCATCAGCGAAATGCAGCTTCCCGAAACCATCAGCACTTATGCAGCCCCACAGAAGACACTGCAACTACGTTTCACTGTAGGCGCCATGCATTTTTTTTGGAATCCTCACCTTTGTGAAGCCATACAGCTTTAAAGCCATAAGTTCCAAAAACATTTCTCTTGGTCTGATCACTCCAGAGTCCCAGTAGTCTCTCAGCATGGGACCTGGCAAATTCTAGGTTGCTTTTTTTGTGTATGGGCCTTAGGAGAGGCTTCCTTCATGGACGACACCCATGCATGCCATTCCACTGCAGTGTATGTCGTATTGTGTCACGTGAAAATCACCCCAGTTTGACTTTCTACTTCTTTAGCCAACTGCAGTGAACTTGCATGGCGATTTTCTGCAACCCTTCTCAACAGAAGACACTCCTGTTGAGGAGTTAACTTCCGTGGACGGCCTGGACATCCGAGATGGTTGCAGTTCCATCTTCGTATTACTTTTGCTACAGTATTCTGACTGATAAGTAAAGCTTTGCTGATCTTTTTGTAGCCTTCACATTTCTTGTGTAAAAGGAAGTATTTTCTCTCGCTTTCTCAGGCCTTGTGACATTTCCATGTGGTGCCACTGCTGACAGTTGATAAAAGGATGTTGCTTAACAAAGAAAACCCCTTACCATGTCATGCTGTCTGTTGGACACCTCTTTAATAAATAGACTCACCTGTAGTTGAATTCTTGTTAAACTTTCATTGGGGTGTATTCATTTCTGCAACATCTTGAATTAATTTGTTAAAGAATAATACTTTGCAAACAAGATTTGTTAATTTGCACACACAATCAAAGGCTTGCATTTGGGGGGAGTATTTTGAAGTATAGTGTCCCATTAAAAAAAAAAAAAAAAAAAAAAAAAAAAAAAAAAAAAGTTGATTCTGAAAGGAATGTAAAAGGTTTTCAAAATAGATAGAGATGCAGCATACCTAGCTCTGCTTGCCTTTGGAAGGACTGATTAACAGAGCCCAGGTCAAGCTAATGCTAGACAGTTGTAGCCTATATAGTGACAGGGGGGAACCAAGTGCCAACTGTAGCAATGGCAGGCTACCAAGATTTTTGTCTGGGCTGAGCTGCTTGTGGGGGCTCTAACAGGTCAGTTGACAGATGTTACTTGAAATCAGTCAATTGGGGGATGCCCTCCATAGACCTGATGGCATCCCGGAAAATGCAAACGTGCCCAAATTTGTGGCAAGATTCAGATACGACAAAGCAATAGCTCAAGATGCCTTCCTTGGAGCTTCCCCCTAGTATATTTCTTCCCTCCTACCTCACAGAGAATGATAACCTTGCTGAAATCGCAAAAAAAGAGGTTCATGCCATCTTAATACTACCGTTCTGCTCCTGCAGATGGAATCAGCACCTCCAGTACCCCTGCCTCTGAGGAGGGATTCACTACAACAGGGTCAGTGGAGCCATCCCAATCCTGGGAGATTACAGCTGATTACATTGCTCATGAAATCACCCAGATTACAGTCTCAAGGCCTCTCGGATGTGGCAATTACTATACTATTAAAAGGCAAGGAATTCTACAAACAAACGCTACACACTCCAGAATTTGGGGAACATTTGTAGCCTTTGCTTCACAACGGGAGTTGACCATCGGCTCCAGGTATTGCAAATGTGCTAGAGTTTTTGCAGTCAATGCTGAATACAGACTAGCAAAAAGTACAAAGTGTCAGGACGGTCATCCTTTGCAGGCAGAAAAAAAAAAAAAAAAAAAAAAAAAAAAAAAAAAAAAAACACACACAACTTGACACAGAAGTCAGATGACTTGCTTAGCCAGTCCAGGCTGGGGAAAGATCCGGACTTTAAAAAGTCGGAATCCACCCTAGAGCGGCACCTGGCTCAGCCACTCCGTACCCCTGCCCAGCCCAGAGCACCAGTGAGCGCTGGTGGGGCAGAGCAGACAGCGGTGACAGTCATGGCTCTTTGCTCAGAGCAGCTGTGAGAACACAGCAATCATGTGATGGCGGTGGGGGGGCGCATGCAGCATTGGAGCGATGCTGTATCATCCTAGGCAAGTATAACTGAGGGGGAAAAAAATAAAAAATAAACAAATAATAAGCAAAGCCCATACTTCTCTTTTAATAAAGCAAATTGCTAAGAGCAGCAATAAGAATGCGGCCTCCTAAGAAGAACCTCTTCCTAGCCTGGATATAGTGCTAAAAGACGCTGCTTCAGGCCCCGATTGTTCCCGCAGAGGCGTGCCCATTATTGTATCTATCCTGCAGAGATCCATTTTTCATCATTCTTGCAGATAAAGTTAATCTGCAGCCTTCACCTGCCTTAGCCTACAAGGTAGTCTCCATGTTTCATTTGAATTGGGAGTCAGTCCTATAGAGTTTAACTCATCTGCTTGTTCCAGTGGTTGTGTGAGACCCAAGACCACTGGATATGGTCAGATTGTTTAACGTACCTACATAGTTCCCAACAGATAAGTCTGATAGTTTGCTTATACCATCAGGGTCTAAGAAAGAAGGGGGCAGCATCAGCAAGGATCATAGCTACCTGGATCACCAGGGCGATCACCCTGGCTTATTACCAACAGGGACTGGCTCCTGCACAGACTGTATGAGCTCTGTCAACGGGAGGGGTGGGAGCCTTGTGGGCAGCATTCGCTAACATGTTGTTAGAAGACATATGCAGAACGGCGAGTTTGAGATAAAGAAGCGGGGGGGCGAGAAAAAGAGGGAAAAAAACAAAAAAAAAAAAAAAAAAACCCATACACAGCATACCTCCCTAGTAATACACAACACAGTTAACCCTTTGATCGTCCCAAGTTAACCCCTTTCTGCCCAGTGTCATTAGTACAGTGTCAGTGCTTTTTATTAGCACTGATCAC